CCTCACCCACCACCACCCCAGGACATCTTGAGTTGCTTCACTCTCTCGCAGTGAATTTCGGTCTGTGTCTGCGTCCTCTTGCAGGGCAGCACAGCCCACCAGCAGCCCTCCGCGGACAGCAGGACGAAGGCATTAGGACCACCGCTGACCTGCCTCCTCCTGGTCTTTGTTCTGCCATCAGCCCAGAGGAGGAGCATGTTAAGCTTTTTTGGCAGCCATATCATAGTGCTGACTCAATTTAAAAATGTAACTTACCCCAAGCCTTTTCACACACATTTCCAGCCTCTTTCCCTCCCAGCCAATTCTTCCTCAAATATAACTAAGCTCAAAGGCAGAAATCTCACATTTTTCTTAAATTCTGTACTGCTGCATTCTATCCATTGCACAAACCTTGTGATCTTTTTGTTACATACTTGGTTATTCAATGTATCTACAAACCCTCTTAGCCTTAGCATATTTTATTCATATTAATGAAAAATAGTAAAAAGAATTAGACAAAATAGTTATTGTGACAAGTTACTCAAAATGTTCCTCTCTGAGTTCAAAGAGGAAAACTTACAGGTCAGTAAGTCTGACAATGACCTTTTCCCTAACAGGAAACCTCACCCAGATGGATTCTCTCTTACTTAGGCACAAAAGCAGCAGGGACTCCGTTGGCCACCAGGGGCTTTAAAGCTGAATGTCCACTCCCACTGCTGTCATGGCACCTGTGACAAATCGCAAACCCTCAGTTAGATGATACGACTTCTCCTTTAAAGCATACTCTCATATTCCTGGGATCTTATACTCTTTCTACAGAACATAGGTTCATGCTAGACAAGAAAAGGTTGCCTCAGATCTCAAAGATTCAGGAAGGTCAATTTATTCTAGGACTGTCCTAATCTAATAAGAAAAGTATAAAAATGCATCAAGACCTTTTGAACTATTCAGGTGTACTGATTATTTGCTAACTTCTCACCAAAGCACTGCAATCACAAATTTAATATCCTACCATCTGTAAACTAAAGACAAAAACCACTTTAGCGACCCACCTACACACATCCCCCAGTGCTCTCACTTAGTTCAGTCTGTAAGAGAAGAACTTCACAGGTCACAGATAAGGGCCTGCGCATGGTGCACATAATCACTGCTTATTCCAATTATGGGAAACACAACACAGAGCCCTCAGTTATAGGCTCACTGGGGTCTAGACAAATTACCAACCTGGAGAACATGAGAAACCTGTTTTGACCATAAGAATAGTTATTTTCTCTCTGACCTCCAACACACCATCTCCCTCTGCCACTCCTGCTTAGTTGGCTGACATGAGCTCAGACTGCTCACTTGTAAAGCATATCCCTAGTATTCATTACCTGATCTTCCAACGTTACTTCCAATCAATCTTCCAATGAACACACTTGCATTTATTAGTATTTCCTTACCTAATGTTGCCATCTACAGTATCAAAGATGGCCAGCTGTGAACCTGCAGGTTATGGCTAACCTGGTGTAACTGATGAGGACAATGGTTCTATTTCTCAAATGTAGGGCCCACTGTCTCCTCAGAGCATGTTTCCTTGACCACCTTATATACAGAGCTCCCCCTTTCTCATGACCCTTTTATAGCACTGCTTTTTAAAAATCTTTATATACTTACAATCTATAATTACCCTGTTTCATTGATTACCCAAGTCCCAGGAGACCTTTGTCTTGCTCACTGCTCTATCCACAGTACCTGGAGTAGGCTCTGGCACATGGTGGGTCCTGGAATTTGTTGAATTACAAGAAAATGAGTGGAATCCTTGACTGACTCCTTGGAAAGCCACAAGCAGTTCTGCCAGCTTACTCAGCACCTTCAGCTTCCTCTCTTTGCATCGAGGAAACAGACTGCTTACTCTATTTTTGTTACATTTTCAAAAACCAAATAATGAAACTGGTTTTACTCTCATTACTCATAAAGCTACCATACTCCAGTCTTCACTGTTCTTTGCTAAGTATTTCCTTCAGCACAAACATGACACCTAAGCTGATGGTCACCCAAATAACTGACCACCACAAGGGGAAGACTTTCAGCATTCTCTCAAAATAAAATTTAACACATTTATATCAAAAGTATGAAGCTGATGTGGCCAGTAACTGTCGGCTTTTCTCTAGTACTTATGGAAAAGGTATATTACAAAATGTATGTAACCTGTGCCTAATGAAAGGCATAGCATTAAAGCGCTTGTTACCAAGCTCTTCCATGAAAGCCAAAGAAGGGGACCTGCTGTTCACACACAGGAGGTGGCCTCTGATTCTTTTTGGGAGTGATCTCTCTTTCAACAAATCCCAGGAGCCTGTGTGGGAGGCACGCTGAGTACTCTGTGGGGCATGTTACCTTCTTTTCTCCTCCTGAGCAGCAGCAGAGCTTTGGTCTTCCTCCCCCTCCACTGTCCTTCTCTTCATCTTCCAATGTTCGAGGGCATGCAGAACAGCCTCCTTTGACCACGGGTCTGGGGCATTATGGATCTGCGCTGCTCTGTAACAGAAAACAGGATTCTAGCATTAAGATATTCTGATTATCATGCTTCATAGCATGGACTTCAGGTGCTGGAAATCAGAAGCTATCCAACAAGCAAAAGGGTAATTTATACACTCACACAAATTGCTCTTAGCTGTTAAAGCCACAGTCTTGGGAAAAAATAAAAAAATAAAAAACTGCTCAATAACTAGAACTTGAGATTTCTCCTTCATATAAGGAGCTTATTCCTTTCCTTTGAGTTACAGTTATTCTGTCAGATGAACAACTGTAGGAGAATAAAGTGGACACACTGGGAGTCTTCTCCTTCAGCAATGCTCACATTGGAAAATGAGCCAGTTTGCTCCCAGGAGGAGTGATCCTCACTGTCGAAGGCCTGCACTCCACTCTGGAATTACCAGGAGACAGCACATGCTTCCTGTGACTGCCATTCCCATTCTGGCACAGCATGGGAAGCACACAGGAATACTGGGCCTGCTGGATTGGGTATCGTCTTGGAGGTGTTATGCCAAAGTGGTGTGGTGAAGTCCCACAGTCCCTGTGGAGAATGGGAGACACATTATGGAATCAAAGCAGCTTAGAAGAATGACAGAAAATTTAAATTACTTACAAACCCTGTGGGTTCAGTTATTTTCCAGAGAGCTTCAGCCTCTAAGCAACACAAAACACAGCATTTTTATAGCAACTTTCCCCCATTCCATCTAAGGGCAGAAAGTGGCAGCTACTTAACAGCTGTGCCTCCAATGGATTCAACTTTGAGGGGGAAATTGAAAACTGCCCACACAAGTAAAACTACAGTGGAAGAAAAGTGTGCATAAGGACGTGCAGGAAAAAATTTTACAAGAATCCTTCAATCTTTTACACTAAGTCATCAGAAATATACACCCAAAGTCAAACGTTTTAAAAACCTGAATGTTCATCTTTTCAAATAAATGTACTTATCAAGGATCTAGTGTTGTCACCGAAGTTTTGAATTTTGTTATCACTCAGCTACTAGGACTAAATGAAAACACAAGTCTTTTTAATCTAACCATCTTTATCAGCCAAGTTATATCCATCAAGAAGGTTTCCTGGGTACACCTCTTGGAGCTCAGCTGATACAATTTATTGGTCCAAAGAATAAAGTAACAAAACCTATTACAGTACTATGCTTTAAAGACAGAAGATATTTTCACCTGAAGTAGGGATATTTCAAGTGATTTACCAAGTATTCTGCTAACCCCATACTGTATTAAAGTTCAGAGCTTTAAGAACTGAAAGAAGGATTTGCAACAACGTGGATGGGGCTAGTGGGTATTATGCTCAGTGAAATAAGCCAGGTGGAGAAAGGCAAGTATCAAATGATTTCACTCATCTGTGGAGCATAAGAACAAAGAAAAAAACGGAAGGCACAAAACAGCAGCAGACTCACAGAACCTGCGAATGGACTAACAGTTGCCAAAGGGAAAGGGACTGGGGACAGTGGGTGGGAAGGAAGGGAGAAGGGGAATAAGGGGCATTAGGATCAGCATACCTGATGTAGGGGGGTGGGCACGGGGAGGGCAGTATAGCACACAGAGAAGACAAGTAGTGACTCTATAGCATCTTACTACACTGATGGACAGTAACTGTATTGGTGTTTGTCGGGGGGACTTGATAATGGCACGGGGAGTCTAGTAACCACAATGTTGCTCATGTAACTGTACACTAATGATACCAAAAAAACTAAAAAAATAAAAATAAAAGGAATAGAAAAATGACCAAAAAAAAAAAAGAACTGAAAGAAGGGAACAGTTCTGGCAGCACATCTCATAGCAAGGGCTGAAGAGAGGCAGGACACACGCACACCAAGGTGTTTAAAGAGGTGAAAACTGCATAGAACCCACTTAGGACTTCAGAAAAAAAAAGATTTCAAAGTCAAGTCCTCGGTCTGGGGAGGTCAGCGAGTCTTACCGGCGGGAAGGCCTCCAAGGGGACTCAAGGAAAGCAGTGGGGACTGAGGGCTGAATGGGATTGCGGCGGGCAGAGGGGGCCGGCGGGGCGGGGCTTGTGGGGCGAGCGCGGCTTGTGAGGAAGGCAGGGCGGCGGTCACGCCCTCTCCGCCGGGTCCTGGCCTCCGAGAGGAGGGCGGGCTGTGGGGGGCGGAGCTTGCTGAGAAAACTTCCCATCAAGAGAGTGCGGCGGGTCGGTCCGTTGAACGGCGTCAGCGGCTCTACCAGACTCCCTTCGCTAGCGCGCCTGGGCCAGAGGCGAGGCGAGCGTTATGCGTTGGCGGCGCGCGTTCCAAAGTTGCCGGGAGATGGCGCGCGAATGCCATCTGGGAGCTCGCGGCTCAGTGGCTCCCCCCCCCCAGGCCGCGGTAGCCCCCCAGCCAGCTCGGCCAGCGCGGCGGCCGCGGGCTCCAGATACACAGCACAAGACCCATTGGCGAGACAGAAAAAAAGAAAAAGGAAAAGGAAAAGAAAAGCATGTAAGCCCTTCATAAAAGTCAGTTGGTATAATGTGAACTTTTTTTTCCTTTTTTTCTTTTTTATTAAGGTTATCATTGATATACACTGTTCTGAAGGTTTCACAAGAGAAACGATGTGGTTACTACATTCACCCATATTATCAAGTCTCCCCCATACCCCATTGCAGTCGGTGTCCACCAGCGTAGCACGATATGCCACAGAGTCCCTACTTGTCTTCTCTGAGCTATACTGTCTTCCCCATGACCCCACACACACCATGTGCACCAATCATAATACCCCTGAATCCTCTTCTCCCTCCCATACCCCTCCTCTTTTGTAACCCCTAGGCCCTTCTTGGAGTCTGTGAGTCAGCTGCTGTTTTGTTCCTTCAGATTTGCTTTGTTGTTATATTCCACAAATGAGGGAAATCATTTGGTACTTGTCTTTCTCTGTCTGGCTTATTTCACTGAGCATAATACCCTCTAGCTCCACCCATGTTGTTGCGAATGCTAGGATTTGTTTTTTTCTTATGGCTGAATAATATTCCATTTTGTATTATGTACCACCTCTTCTTTATCCATTCATCTACTGATGGACACTCATGTTGCTTCCATATCTTGCTATTGTAAATAATGCTGCAATAAACATAGGGGTGCTTATGTCTTTTTGAGTCTGGGATCTTGTTTCTCTGGGTAAATTCCTAGGAATGGAATTCCTTGGAAAAATGGTATTTCTAGTTTGTTTTTTGAAGAACCTCCATGTTGCTTTCCAGAATGGTTGAACTAATTTACATTCCCAGTGTCAGTGTAGTACGGTTCTCCTTTTCCGCATCCTCACTAGCATTTGTTGTTGCTAGCCTTTTTGAGGTTGGCCATCCTAAGTGGTGTGATATGATATCTCTTTGTGGTTTTAATTTGCATTTCCCTGATAATTAGTAATGTGAGGCATCTTTTCACATGCCTGTTGGCCATTTGAATCTCTTCTTTGGGGAAGTGTCTGTTCAGATCCTCTGCCCATTCTTTAATTGTGTTATTTGCTTTTTGTTTGTTGAGGCATGTGAGTTCTTTATATATTTTGGATGTTAAGGCCTTATTGGATATGTCATTTACAAATATATTCTCCGGGAGGAGAAGGCACATGAATGGAATTTCGGGACTTGCGACTCAGTCCGCACCCCTCCTGTGGGAGTTCCAATGTCAGTGCATGGGACAAAAATTATATCCACCCTTATGATGCCCTGAGCACCTTGACCATGTTTTTATGAACATTAACTCCAGGGTCCCAACAATGAGAAACGGGAGCATGGTGGCCCCACTGCACACACCCAGAGAGGAAGGCCAAGTTACCCATCCACCTAAAATCTAACCTTATGGCTTTCTCCCCCAAGCTCCTATTGTGGGGCTGTCGGCTAGCACCACTGGATGCTGCCCTCTTGAGAGAGACAAGAGAACCTTTCTAGTTGCTCCTTCAGGAAGATTCACAGAAACAAGATCATAGGCTAAAGGACATAAACACCTGTCCAGTTCTTCTGAACTCCAGGAGCATTTCTCTGATGGGCTAACCCTGCCACCGTCGCCCTTGTTAGCGCTGGGGCAGGGTGTGTGTGCCTGTCTCACATGTGCCGTGGGGCTCAGTCTGCCCCTTCAGAACTGCCACACGGATTTGCTTTCAGCTTGTTTCTCCTGGGTGGGGACAGAACCGCAGGAGGCCGAGGAGGCTCCTCTAGCACTCCCCACGAGGAATGTGGTCTCTAGCCCTCAGCCCCCAGCTGCCCTTGCTGAGCCATTATGGGAACCCAAATGCCAGTCCAGATGCCCTGAGCACGACGGGCTCTGTTAGCCAGTGAAGTGGGTGTCGTGAACCTGGGACAAAAGTGTCCTTGTGCTGCTGCGGGCCTGGGGCAGGGCGGTGGGAGGCACAGCCGGGCCTTCACCAAGGAGGCCAGGCCGGGAGAATAGTGATGGTGTCTGTTTTCCTCGTTTAGCGCAGTGCTGGGGGCCAGGAACCCTGGGTGCACGCACTCATCCATCCATCCCGGGGGACTCCTGAGTGCAGATCCCGTACCCAAAATGAGAAACAGCCCGAAGGCTCCCTGATGGGGCTCAGGGCCGCCTGAGTGAGACAGAAGGGACCCAGATACCCTTTGTCACCCTCTCCCGGTCCAGCAAACCCAGTCAGAACCCAGCGCGGGCGGCAGGCCCCGCCCGCCGCACTCCAGGGCCTCCTCTTTCCTGAGCCACCTCCTCTCCTGGACCTGCTCTCCGGTCAAGTTCACGGAAAATGACTTCGTCTCTCTCTCTCCGGCTTCCGCACCCTGTGTGTGCCCCTCTCCCCCACCCCCACCTCCCATCGCCCTGGGCGCACCAGACCCAGTCGCAGCTGGGGCTCGCGCGCACTGGCGAGCTGGAGCAGAGCCTGCTACTGGAGAAGGCGCAGGCCACGAGGCTACTCCGAGAATTAGCAACAACAGGGTAACACGCTGCCGCCACCTGCCACCACCTTGACCCCTTCACTCCCCTTGGGCCTCTGTGTTTTATTATTTTCTGTCTTTGGCTGCTCCCCTCATTGTTTTCTCCTTTTGCGCCCCTTCCAGGAGGGAGGTAGAGGGTTAGGGATGTGCTCAGGCTTCACTGCCACATGGTACTTGTTGGGGGGAGGGGTCTTCACTGGCCAGCTCATGGTCCCACTGGCTGGGACTGTCCTGTGAGACCCTCCCCTTCCTCCCTCCCCATCCATTGCCTCGATGGGCTTTGTGTATAGCCAGAAATCGATTGCCTTGGGCACATTCTGCCCCAAATGTGGGCAGGCACAGGGACAGCCTGTCCACACCTGCCTTCTCCCCAGGCTGGGAAGTCAGGTCTCTGCAGAGAGACCGCAGACCCAGGTCTCTCTAGCCCAGGGGGTCTTAAATATGGTGGTAGGAGGGGCCAGCCTGAAGGACATGGGGCTCTGTGTCAGCCCTACGGTCAGGCTATTAAAATACAGTGGGTTAGGGCATGGGTCATAGGCCAGGGAAGTTCTGCTTGGGGGTGAGGTCCTGCAAAGCCAGGGCCTGGTTCTGAGTCCAGGCTCTGGGCCCAGCTGACCCCTTCATGTGCCAGGGCTGGCCCCCTGTGCAGGCACATACATCCAAACAGCTGGCCAGCCGCGCCCAGCACATAGCCCAGCTCTAGTTGTCTTGGCAAAGCAGCTAAACAGCCAGCAAGCAGTGATTGGTAAAAACCACCACAAACAGCATGTGCTTGGGAGGCGGGCAGCAGTCAGTTTCTGTAGGTCGGCCTTAGCCCACGAATGGTGCATGCGCTGGCATCCGGGTCCCTTTGCACGCAATGGCCATTGCTAGGTAACGGGGTGTGTCATGCAGTGGACATGCGTATGCATGAAGGCTGCTTGCAGAAACTGACTGAGTGGCGGTGCACATGCGTTAGCCCTCCTCACGGGGCATCTTGGGCTAGGGTTCAACCCGATTAGAAAAACAAAAACAGGTTTACTGAACTCTAAGGGTCACTTTCAGAAACAAAATTTTTTAAGCTTGTAAAAGATTTAAAACTTTTAAATATGTTGCTTCCAAATCTATGGCCATTGACATGGTCAGGATTTGGTTTTAGAGGATGAAGCTTCTAATCTCAGGGTTTTCCATCAGAAGGTGGGTCTGGGAGCACAAATTTTGTTCTGCTTTAGGCATTAAACCCTTCCTTGGCCACGTCCTCCAGACGTGAATCAGCTCCTCTGATTCAACCCCGACTGTCTGGGGACCTTCCAAGAGCAGGACAATGCAAAATTCCATCATCTCTGCTCTTTAAAAATAATATGAACCTAGAGAAAGCCATAACTCCTGGTTTGTCCAAGCCACCTCGGGCAGCAGGGAAAGCTGACTCCTTGAATCACTGGGGTACAAGCCAGGGAAGTCTTCCTGGAGGCTGTAGCTGGCAGGGCCACAGAGAGCTGGCACTCAGGTGGAGGTGGGCGCCCTTCCCTTCCTGTGGCCCTCCCTCACTGGGGCTGGGGCCCTTGAATGGGGAGGCCCCGTCTTGCACCTGTTGAGTCCCCAGACAGCCCACTGACCCCAGCCTCCCTCTCTCCCTGGTGGCTGACCACAGTGGCCGAGAAGTCACGGGTGCTGCATCTGGAGGAGGAGCTGACCCTGCGATGCAGCGAGATTGAGGAGCTACAGCAGTGCTTGCTGCACTCGGGCCTGCCACCCGCCAACCACCCCGAGGCCGCTGAGACGCTGCGGCTGCGGGAGTGGCTGCTGTCGGCCAGCAAGGAGCACCAGAGGGAAAGCAGAGAGGGGTGCTGCGGGACAAGTACCAGAAGGCCCTGAGGGCCTACCAGGCAGAGGTGGAAAAGCTCCGGGTGGCCAACGGGAAGTACACGCAGGAGGTGGAGAACCTCAAGGCCAAGGTCCAGCAGGCCACCAGCGAGAACATGGGGCTCATGGGCAACTGGATGTCCAAGCTGGACTCACTGGCCTTGGACCACCAGAAGTTCCCAGAGGACCTCAAGGCCACCCTGAACTCAGGCCCGGATGCCCAGCAGAAGGAGATCAGAGAGCTGAAGGCTGTGATGGAGGGCATCAAGATGGAGGACCAGCTGGAGCTGGGCAACCTGCAGGCCAAGCACAACATCGAGACAGCCATGCATGTGAAGGTGAAGGAGGGCCTGTGGCAGAAGCTGCAGGAGACCCAGAATGAGCTGGCCAGGCTGCAGCAGCACTGGCAGGCCCAGCTGGAGGTGCAGGCCGGCTAGCACCAGATAGAGCTGCCAGAGGCCCAGGAGCAGTGCAGTGATGCCAAGCTGCGGGTGCATGAGCTGGAGAAGCTGGATGTGGAGTACGGGGGGTGGGCACAGGCCATCGAGTTCCTCAAGGAGCAGATCTCCCTGGCTGACAGGAAGATGCTGGGTTACGAGGTACTGCAGCTGTTGGAAGCCCAGTGCAAGGAGGAAGCCGAGAGGCTGTGGGAGAAGCTTCTGGTCGCCGAAAACAGACTCCAGGCTCTCGAGTCCCTGTGCTTGTCCCAGAACACCAACATAAGCCACCCATGCTGCTGGGATGGGGTAGGGGGGCCCACGGGCTGCGTGTGAGGGTCCAGCTGCGGAGGGCCTGGGTGTCTACTGGCCACTTTGTCCCAGACTGGGGAGGCATTCTCCTTGTCCCCAGGTGCACACCTGTGGGAGATCAGATGGCATCCGGCTCAGAGGAGAGCCCCTCATCCCTCCGTCAGTCAGAAGGGCAGCTGGGCCTGGTGACTGGGGTCCCAAGGTGGTCTGATCAGACCAGGCTGGGACCTCACAGGCCAGGCTGCAGAGAAGAACACCTTGGCACTGAGAATGGGTTTCTCCCACTCCTCGAGTCCCTGATTCACCCAGATGACTTCCTGTGGAGGGCAAGCCCTGTGCATTCCCAGGGGGCCTGTCTACAGCACAAGTGCTTGGAGGTGGCGCCCTTTCTGGCAGTCCTAATGAGACTGAGCAACAGTCCAGCAGCCACTTCCTCAGAGTGTGGACATCCCCAGAGTGGGCTCTGGAAGGCTGGAGGTGGGTGGCCAGAGAGGCTTCTCCCACTAGTACCAGTTTTGCCCCAAATCCAGAAGGCTGAAGCCCTGGATGCGTGGGCTATGTCCACTCCAGCAGGGCCAGGAAGTCTTCGCTGCTTTCTGTTTCTATGGATTTGCTGATTCTACACATTTTCATATAAAGAGCATCATATAATAGGTGGCTTTTTCTGTGTGGCTTCTTTTACTTAGCCTATTATAGTGAAGGTTCTTCCATGGTGTCGCAATGTCAGTGCATCATTCCTGTTTAGGGCTGAGTAATAGTCCATCACATGCACATGCCACAGTTTGTTTATCCATCCACCTGTGGATGACATCTGAGCTGTTTCCACATCTTCGGCTGCTGAAAACATGCATGTTTTTAGTGTGCATGTACAGGTACTTGTCAAGTGCCTCTTTAGTGTCCTTTGGGGTGTATACCCAGGAGTGAAATTGCTAGGTCACGTGGCAATTCTATGTTTAACTTTTTATAGTTTTTGCCCAGCTCTCTTGTTTCTTCTTGCTTATTTTTCCACATGATTTTAGAATCAGCTTATCTAGTTCCACAAAAATTAAAATCTTGTTGGCATTATGTTATATTGGTAGGTTAACTTGTGGAAAGTTAGTATGTTTCCAGCACTGACCATGCATTATCTTTTTTATGACTGTTTGGAGGCCGTCAGTACTGAATACACAAGACTTGTGACATGAGCACCATTTTTATTATCCTAACTTCCCACTCAAGGAAGCTGACACTTTGAGATAAGTTGCCCAAGACTACACAGTATTGCGGCCTTTTGTTCAGAGTGTGTTACCCAGAGAGGGCTGGTGTGAGAATGAATTTGGACCAGTTTGGACCAATGAGCCCACGTGTAGCTGCGTTTTAGGGTTCCTGCAGATCATCCCCTCACCCACTGACCTAGAACGCTGATGGCCCTTTGTCTCTCCCTTCTCCAGGCCTTCAGGACAAGCTAAACAAGAGGGACAAAGAGGTGACAGCCTTGATGTCCCAGACCTAGATGTTCAGGCCCAAGTAAGTGGTAAGTCTCTCTTGCACAGGACAGATGGAGGGCTTTCACTGGGGCCATGTGGCAGTCAGGTGTGGGGTGCGCTGACACCTGGGTAAGGGCACCCTCTCCACACTGCCTTGAGGAGAAGGTGACCTGGGCCAGTCCAGCTACCCTGGACTTCACCTGGGCTGCAGTAAGCAGGGAGCAGGAACCCATACACATCCATCATATAATCAGGGCCTTGAACCGGCTTCTTTCCCCAGAGCCAGCTCTGTGTTCCCTCTGCTCTGAAATTCTGTCACCATTTCTGTTTGGTCTTGAAGACTTTTTGGGTTCTCTAGGTCACCTTGATAGGGTATCAGCCCCCAGCCCCTAGAAGAAATACCAGGATTTCAGAACTGGAGGGACGGATGCTCGCAGCAGCAGAGAGCAAGACACAGGGAAGATGAGGACAGAGGGGGAGCCTGGGGAGAGGTGGGGGTCTGGAACTTGGGACAAACTGGCCCTGCTTCTTGTCCGCCAGAATGCCAGTGGTGGTGTCCATGAGACGACCCCCATCCTGGGAACCAGTTCCCACCCCCACTCCTCTCCCGTTCCCATCACATTCACGTGGCATAATTGGTCCTCACAAAGGTAGTTGGCCTCAAACTCCTCGGAGGCGAAGGTGAAGATTTAGCTTTTCCTTGTCCAGGAGCAGTGTAGGTGCCAGTCCCGTCTCGGGGAGGGCGGACTGCTTCCCCTGCCCCCGAGGGCCTGGGCTGCTGTGCTGGGGGGCTCAGGTCTGCTTTTGTAGCTCTTCCCTCAGCCCCTGGCTGCCTGGTTCTGCAGGACGAGAGAGATGCACTCTGTGGAGTGTGTCACTGTGACCCCTGGGAAAACAGGCTCCCTGCCCAGGTTTGGCTCTCTGGTGGGACAGACTCCCATGGCCATCCTGCCCTCTCTCTGCTTTCCCTGCTGGCTGACCCTCAGCACTGGTGAGCAAGTGTAAGTCAGGAGAGAAGAAGGTGGACACCCTGCAGAAGAAGTGGCACTTGGAGGCAGAGCTAGAGGCCGTGTCCCGGAAGACCCACGATGCCTCGGGCCAGCTGGTCCTCATCAGCCAGGAGCTGCTCAGGAAGGGGTGGTGAGTCAGCCGTGGGCTTGGTGGTCACGCTTGCTGGCCGTGCCCCTCACTCCACCTGACATTAGCCAGTCTTTCCCAGAGCAAGGGGGAAGGGCCACATTGTACAGGTGGTTGGCATGACCAATGATCGCCTAAGCACCAATGAAGCCTCAGAATCCTTCTTAACACAAGAGAGTTTATAGGAAACCCCCAGGAGAGATTATAGGAAAGATTAGTGGTTCCCAAACTTCTTGGTCTCAGGGAGCCCTTTAAAAAGATTATAAGAGTTTTTTTAAAAACTCTTAAAAGTTATTGGGTATTTGCAAAGAGCTTTTGGTTATTTATTCTATACTTAGATTGTAAATTAAAACTGAGGATCCTTTAAATAGCTATTAAGCCATTTAAAAATAATGACACTAATAATTGCATGTAACATAAACAATACACTTTGGGGAAAAAGTGCTTTCTAAAACATGGTTTAGTCAGAATAATGGCATTGCTTCACATTTTTGCAGATTTCTTGAGCATTGGGCTGAGTAGCAGACAGCGGGAGTCTCTTCTCTTCCTCTGCATTTAATCGTTGTAACTTGTTATTTTGGTTGAAGGATATTATGAGAACGTGGCCTTACAGAAATATGTAGTTGGGAAAGAGAGGAATGTTTTAATATCCTTTTCAGATAATTATTAATATGCTCTGCAGTCACAGGAAAAATTCATTGTACACTCATGAGAAATGACTGTGGAAAGTTCCATGATTATTATGAAAATAGTTGTGACCTGTGGACCCCCTGGAAGGGTTTTAGAGACCTCTGAGGGGTCCCCAGACCATATTTTGAATGATTATTATGAAAAGAGTTGTGACCTGTGGACCCCCTGGAAGGGTTTTAGAGACCTCTGAGGGGTCCCCAGACCATATTTTGAAAACCTCTCGGTTACAGTCAATGACATGATTTGTGTGACCTATATGAGGCTTTGAAAAAAACAGGCTAGAATTTAAAAATTGGTAGATTTCCTATAAAATCCAGGTTTCTCCAGATTCCCTTAAAAAATTGGAAGGTCTGACAACAGTAGGCTGACTTCCAGCCGGGCAACAATCAGCCATCGCTGGGGAACACTTGCCCCCTTTCGATGGGCGCTGTCCCCTACTTGCCTTCATTATTTCTCTCACACCTACTTTGTGGACATGATTCCCCAGCCCCTGTAAGCACTTGAGGTTCAACCTGAGTTAAAAGAATCTCATTAGAGTAGGAGTGTCTTTTTATAAAGGAAATGCTGTCTCCTCCCCTCTGTAAGTGTGATACACACTTTGGGGTTACTAGGACACTCTCTGGAGAACACGGCCCAGCCTAGGAGGGAGTTAAAACAGATGCAACAGGCTACTGGGAATATTCCCTCCCTAGCATTGGTGAGCCAGCAGCTGCCGCCGCCAGGGCTCCACCACTGTCTTGCTCCTTATCCCCTCCCCCATCCAAGTTGGATAGTTTATCCTCTGTGTTCAACCCAGTCTCAACTCCTCTGAGGAGTCTTTCTGCTACCAACAAGCTCATTCCTGCCTATGTCTCTTATCACTCTGCAATTCCCACTTCCCGGAATACCTTCTTTTTGGTCACTTTACCAAATCCAGTACACTATTTAAGGTTTTCCTCACAGCTCAGCTTTTCCTTACAGCCTTCCTTTGTTGGTATAGGCCAGCCCGAGTCCCTCCATGTTCCCATGGCACTCAGGATGTTGGTGGGAGATCAGCTAGGAATTTGTTGGCAGATTAAACTTGTAGGGATTTATTTTCCTCATGTAACAAGAAATCTGGAAGTAGCGTGACTGGCAATTAGCTATGGCTCAAGATACCAGTACCAACACATTTGTGTTTCCCTTAGACTCTTCCTCATGGTTGTAAGGTGGCTGCTGAAGCTCCAGCCATCATCATATATATAGCAGGGAGAAGGAGAAAAGAGAAGGGGCAGTGTCAGCAGATGCCCACTTGGTTCTCAGTTACCCATGGCCTCCTAGTCAAGGAGTTCTCCTTTCTTCTATAGTAGATGCAGGCAAGAAAAAGGCTTAGAAGGGGTATGTCCTCTTCTTCCATCCTGTGTCCATGGAAGACAGTGCTAACTGATCACTGCCCTCTTTTCTGCAGAGCCCAAACATGGCCTCAGAATCATTCTCATCACGGTATCCCAGGCAGGCTACTGCCAGTTGGTGAAGAGCTGACATGGGAAATTAAATCCATTTGACATGAGGCCTTTAAAATGTTTTGCTGCACAGGCTCTCTTGAATGAATGTTTTGTTTTGTTTAATTTTTAGTTAAACAAATACTGTATATTCTTTTTTAAAGCCTTTAAGACATTCCCGGAAAGGCCAAGTCCTCTTGACCATCCTATCCCCAAACCCTGGCCCCTCTGGGGCTGTAGTCAAGTTGTTCCATGCCTCATATTTCCACTCTGGCCCCTGCTGGCACCTAGATGTCATCCTAACAGCCAGTGTCCCCTTCAGGGTGGCAGTCCCCAGGCTCCTGGAAAATCGCTGGAGAGTCGGGGCGGAGAGGCCAGGGCTGACAGTAATGCTCTGTGCCCCCGCCAGGAGCCTGAATGAACTTCAAGTGTTGCTGCTGGAGGCCAGTCGCCACTCCCCAGGGCCCAGGAGGGACCTGAGCTGCGAGGTTCACAAGGCTGAGTGGCGGATCAAGGAGCAAAAACTCAAGGATGACATCCGGGCCTGTGTGAAAAGCTGACCAGGCTGGTACGTGGGGAAGGGGTGGCTGGGGATGGAGAATGCCAGGGTGGGCTGGGTTATCTGCTGTCAGGCCATGGGGACTGGTGACCTCCTGGAGCCACCCCCAGGGACAGCCACATCATAGTGAGGGTTCAAAACCCCCTAGAACCACAAGCAGGGCCAGCAATGTATCTGGTGGGGGCCACATGCAGCCCTTTGCAGGTATTGTGGCTGGCTTGGTGATGCCATTCTAAGGAAGACTTCCTAGAAATCCAGCCTGTCCTGAGGTGGTGTGTGAGCTCCCCCTCCAGGGACATAATCAGCCAGAAAGCAGCTCCTCATTTGGGATCCTGCAATGGGGATTCACACATGGGTCTCAGGAAGGCGCCTTGAGAGCCTCCCCTGGCCCTGAGGTTCTGGGAGTGAAACTCTTTTGCCATCAGGAACAGGAACCTTGGGGAGCTGAGTCCCCAGAGGTGGGGCTGGGGTAGGTGGGGACACCGGTAGCAGGACAAACCCTTCCGCACCCTGTCCCCTGCAGTCGGCCCTGAGGACAGCCCCATGGCCACTTGCTGGGCCTGGTCAACTCTGGGGTGTGGATGGGATCATAAGATCCGGGAGGACCGACCTGGGAGGCTGTTCCAAAGCCCCTCACTGCCCTCCAGCCCAGCCATATGGGCTTAGCTGTACTGGAGGTGATGGAAGAGGTCTTGGGTGGGAGGCAGGGACAAGATCCGCCGCAGCCATGGAAGCAGGCCCTGGGCCTGCAGGGTTAAGGGATAAGGGGCGTCACTCTGGCTACACACCCAGATCGTGGGTGTGCAGGCTACTGGGTCCAGCCACCCTGTGGCCTTCCCAGTCCAGGCGGGTCTGGCCAACAAGGCCGGTTCAGGTCCTCTGTGGCCTGTCTGGGCACACTGTGGGAGAAGACAGGCCCAGGGGACTTGGGAGCGTGGATTCCCTGAGACTTTTCCAGAGCCCTGGGGGTTGGGGGGGTGGCAATGTGGCACTGACTCACCTCTGGGGGCACAAGCTGGTCAAAACCACCCGAGGGCAGCCACTCCCTTGTCTTCCTGCACTGTCCCCAGTGCTGTGGGAGATCCAGGGAAGGGCTTTGTGGTTAGAAACTTCCAGAAGTGAAGAAGGTTGGGTGGAGAGGAAGCTTCGGATGGAGGGGCAGAGCAGAGCAGAAGGACCTAGAAGCCCCTGGCCAAGGGGCCTCTGTGGAGGGGCTTGAGCCCCTGGTACTGAGTGCGCTGTTGGGCATGGGGAGGGAGGGTTCATTTGGGCTTGAGGGTAAGAGGTGGTGAGGCTGGGGGTGTGGGACTGAGGAGGAGGGACCCGCATAAAGTAGAGGGAGGGGGGTTGGGGGTCGTGGGAAGGGAAGGGGGGCGTGGATTTCAGGACTGGGAGAATGTCGAGCATCTGACAGGCTGGGAAGGCAGGCAGGGGACAAAGGAGATGCCTCAGTGGGGACCTCGGGTCGGGAGGAAGCCTGAAGTGACGTCCTGGAGGTGCTCAGGCCTGGCCCAGAGGTGAGGCGGGCCAGGGGAGTTTGCCGCCTGGAGCAGAGGCCTCCCTGCCCCAGGCTCACTCTCACATCTTCCTCTCTCCTGCTGCTCCCAGGACAAGGAGAAGTCCCTGTCGGATCAGAGGCGCTACTCCCTCATTGACGCATGGGCGCCCGAGCTCCTGCGCTGCAGCACCAGCTGATGAGCACGGAGGACGCGCTGCGGGACGCCCTGGACCAGGCTCAGCAGGTGGAGAAGCTCATGGAGGCCATGAGGAGCTGCCCCGACAAGGCCCAGGTGAGCGGGGGCAGGGCTGGGCTGCCCAGGTGGGGAGCCCCGAGGCGAGGAGCGTGGCCAGGGAAGTCTGGTCTGAACTCTGCCCGGGGGCAACATGGCTTCATCCCGCGGAGCTCAGACTAAAGGGGGAGATGCAGCCTTGCTCTGAGAACCTTGTTCTCCGTGGTCCCCGGGGGTCCTGGGATCCCCATTCTGAGGAGCTCTGGTCAGTTTGGAGCCTCAGCTGGTTCCGTCAGGAAGACCTTGCCATCTAGTGGACAAACTCGGAACTGCTGCTGCCTGGCAGGCCTGGCTCAGCATCTGCCCGTGGCTCTTATAGGCCGTCAGCAATTCAGATCTGCAAAGGGCATCCACCAGCAAGACAAAGCCCATATCAAGAGGTAAGGGCTGCCTGGCCCCAGGGAGGCGCCCTGCGCCACCCACATTCCTCCAGCACAGGCCGATTCCTTTGTAGGAAAAAACCCTGAAAAGTCACTGAAAATACAAGGATTCCTTATGCAAGAGGCTTTACAATAGAGTCCCTCCAGAAGTGGGAACAGGGCAGTCAAGCCTGATTCAGTTATCATCCTGCTCTTTTATTTTTAACTTTGCTTCTCTTAAAAAAAAAACAGAAACTTTTATTATAAAATAATACATGCCTATCAGGAAACTTGGAAAAAAGAAACCTACAAATTTCATAAAGAAGGAAATACAAGTAGTCCTCCCAGCCAGAGTTGACCACGGTTAGCATTTTTAGGTGCTGTTCCTGAAGCTTCCTATGCATGTGTGTGTGTGTGTGTGTGTGTGTGTGTGTGTGTGTGTGTTCACATATGGTCAACCCTCATTATTCACAGATTCTATATTTGCAAATTTAATCTACTTGGTCAAATGTATTTATAACCCCAAAATCAATCCTCATGGCACTCTCATGGCCATTCATGGACATGAGCGGAAAAGAGAAAAATTTGCATCAACATGCGTGTTCCCAGATGAGGCTGACCAAAGTGATGTTCTGCCTTCTTGTTCAGCTTTCATATTGTATGTGTGTGTGTGTGTGTGTGTGTGTGTGTGTGTGTGTGTTCACATATGGTCAACCCTCATTATTCACAGATTCTATATTTGCAAATTTAATCTACTTGGTCAAATGTATTTATAACCCCAAAATCAATCCTCATGGCACTCTCATGGCCATTCATGGACATGAGCGGAAAAGAGAAAAATTTGCATCAACATGCGTGTTCCCAGATGAGACTGGCCAAAGTGATGTTCTGCCTTCTTGTTCAGCTTTCATATTGTAAACAAGCATCCTTTTCACAGTCCACATAGTGCTGCATTTTTTTTGCATTTCCATGCTTTGCGTGGTGGTTTCCCTGTTTAAAATGACCCCCGAGCCCAGTGCTGAAGTACCATCTACTGTTCCTAAAGGTGAGAAGGTCACTCACGGTGTGCCTGGTGGAGAAAGTGCTTTAGAAAAGCTCCACTGAGGCAGGAGTTACAGTGCTGTTGGCCTTGAGTTCATGGTCAATGAGTCAACAATCTGTATTAAATATGGTCGCAGGAAACAGAAGCACACATAAAGCATGGTTCCATATCCATCGCTTTATGGAAATGCCATGACCAGAGGTTCACAGGAACCCGGCCCTGAATTTCCACTGGAAGCAGTGACTCAATATTCGCTAATTCAGCATTCGCATGACTGGGTAGTGCATGCCTGCTGCAAATAATGGGGATCGTTAGATTTGTATGTTTATGTAGGTGTATGTGTATATACATTACTTTTTACTTGGAAATAATTTCTAACTTACACAAAAGTTGCAAGAATAAAATAGTACCTAGAACATCATATGCCCTTTGCCCCCATCACTTCCATTAACATTTTGCCCCATTTCCTCTAGTTTTTTTGCACTGTGTGTGGATGTGTGTGTAATAATACATGTAAGTTGTTTTCAGAACCGTTTTGAGTATAATTAGATGGCCCTAAATACTTGAGTCCATATTGCCTGAGAAAAAGGATGTGGTTTTACATAACCACAGTGCAGTCATCAATGCAGCCAATGTAACGTCCGTGTGAGGATTTTATCTAATCACTCACCATGCTTGCTTTCTTAAGTTTACTTGGGGGCTCCTTCCATAGCTCTTTCCCCCCAGTTCAGGATCCAGCCTGAGAGTTATTGCATTTAGTTGTTATTTATTGCAGTCAGTGGTTGTAAGTCTTTAGTCTCTTTTAATCTGGGACATTTCCTCTATTTCTCTTCCATTTTTATGACATGGCATTTTTTAAATAAGTCCCCCCTCCTTTTTTTAATAGAAGATTCCTTATTTTTGGGTTTGTCTGATGGTTCCTCTTGATTAGAGCCAGGTTATACCTTCGAGGCAGGAGCACCTTGTCTGTGTTGTGCCCTTCTCCCGACACCACAGCCGGGGAACATAATGTCCATCTGCCCTTCGTTCCTGTTGTGAATTTGGTCACCTGGTCAAGGAGTCTGATTTCTCCACTGTGTATAAGTTACTAGTTTTTTCTTAACAAGCAGTCTATGGAGAAACCCTACAACCATGTGAACCCTCTGCTCCTCCCCAAAGCTGCCCCCTGGACTGATCATCTGTTGGTGACTCTTACCTGAGCCAGTCTTTACTGTGATGGTTGCAAAGTGGCACTTACATCATTTAAATAGAGTAGGTATCATACAGTATATTCAATTTCCCTTCCTTTTTTTTTTTTCACTGAATATTTTAAACATAAGCATTTTCTCTCCTCAAGCAATCTCTGTAAATCCTATATTTTATAAAATTGTGGGTATAACATTGGTTTTCTAGATTTCATGGGCCTGAAGGGTGCCCGGGACGCCTGTGATGGTTGTATCTTTGCTTGGCTGTTATGATTTAAGGCAGTGCTTGGTGGCCTCCACCCCAAAGTTTACCCCTGGCATTCACTCGGGGTTATAGGCACCCGCTTGGGTCCCACATGCCAGTCCGATCAGGTGGGAGGAGCCCTATACCAGCTCTGTCCCTCTCTATCCCTGGCCACAGCACTCTCTGAGTGACCCTGGGCAAGGGAGGCAGGAACAGGGGAGGAAGCCCTCATCCTTCCAACTTGGACTGTGGGGCTCCTGGCCACGGTGCTCACCTAGAGACAGGAGAGGCTTGGCCACACAATCAGCCAAGGGCCAGGCCCATGGGTGAGGGCAGGACCCTGTGCTGGACCTGCATGCAGGGCAGCAGGGGAGGTGGCAAGGTTGTGTGTGCCAAGCAGCTGCCGTACGTGAGGTGAGGTAACCCCCAGGACCTGCTGTCCATACCTTTTGTGGCTTTGTCCTCCTAGCAACCCTGTGAGGTATATGGGGTCATCCCAGTTTACAGACTTGAAAACTCAGGCTGGGAGCCTCAGCTCTGGCTCACATTTCCTCCTACCCAGTCCCCCACACAAGCACTCAGTGCCTTTGTAAAACTCACCAACTCTTGCCTCTTTCCCTCAACTTCCCCTAGAGTGCTCCTTTCCTCTGGTCTCACCATGGCCCAGACACATGGCAGACCTTTCCTGCCCCAGGGCCTTGGCACACACTGGTCCTTCTCCCTGGGGCAGGTGCGCTTTCCACCCCCAGGTGTCCCACCCCACTTCCTGCCCGACCCCTCTCTGCAACTTAGAAGCTCTGCTGATCAGTCCCTTGCTCTCTCCAGGTAAAGCCCTGACCCCGAGGGATGCCGTGGAGTGACCAGTCCACACCAGTGCCCCTCCGGCTTGCCCCAGCAGCGCCCCCTCCAGGCAGGGGCCAGGACTGTCACTTTGGAGACCACAGTGTTCCTAACAATGATGCACCCACTGCCGCAGACAATCCCCTGCCCTAGACCCCCTGCCAGACCAGGAGGCTTCCTCAAGCACGACCCTCCACAGAGAGTGGTATAGCCCTAGCCTGGCCCTGGGCCTTCAGCTGGGACACCCTGGACGCCCTGGCAGTTTCTGGAGTTTGTTCTGGGAGGTGAGGTGATATGGCCAGGCCCTAGGGCTGTCTGAGGACCATCTTGGTACCTGGACATGTCCCTGCCCGCCCTTTCTTCCCCTCCTCCTCCCCGGTCCCCCTCAGACCCTAGAGAGTCACTGTTCTGGGAAAGGGTCACAGGAGGCTCGGCTTCATGCAGGTACTGAGGAGGGAAGCCCAGCCCTCAGGAGCCAAGTGGGGACTCCCTTCTCTGCAGCCACTTCCAGGCCAAGGCTGTCCCCAGGGCTTCTTGTCCCCATATACTGAGCCTCCTCCAAGCAGTGGTACAGGTTCCCCTCAGCCTGTCTGCCAGTGGGGCCCCAAGTTCAGGGTGTTGGGAAGTGAGGAAGCGAGGTCCTTCTTCCCCCTTCCCCCAACACCAACACACACACACAGCTCCAAGCTGCTGGCCACAGAGTGGTCACCAAGGCCAGAAGCCGCAGTACTGGGAAAGTTTGGAAGCCCCTCTCCTTACCGCCACTACTGACCTGGCTTGGAGCTGGGGTCGGGTGGCCCTGGGGAAGCCCAGAGCCAGGGCTTTAGGCATGTCTTGGCTGGTCAGTAATATGGTGACCCCTGGGCTGACTGGGTGTTCCAGACTGGGCCTCCCACCTGCAGATGTGCCTGTGAAGCTCTGACATAGGCATCCGCAGACACTTGGCACATGCACACTCAGGGGTCATGTGTGCACACATGGCCACATGGGGAATGCATTTGCAGCCAGCCACACTCAGGCCACACCAAAGCTCACACTTGGGTCCTAGGACTGAGCCTCAGACCCACCAGGTACACGTGGGGCAGCCTAGCTGTGCACATACCCAGGTACACGTGGGTGAGTGTTGAGGAATGTGTGTGCTATGCACACCCGTCAGAACGCACATATGCCAACAGGCCCCTTTTGGTCTCATCAGGTATCTGCCCAGAGCTTTTTAAGCCCCATCTCCTGTAGCCAGGAAAAGCTCCCAAGGGTTGTTGGCAGCAAGAAAAATCAAACTGCCTCTCCCCCTTCCTCTCAAGTGCTCCTGAGTTACTCCAGGCCTGTGTGTGGCAGGAAAGCCAGCACTGGCCCAGCAGCCCCCACCTCTAGAGCTGGAGGGCTGGAAGGTTACTGACCTGTGCTCAGCACCCCCGCAGAAGGATGGTCTCCACTTGGAGCCTCCCCTGCCAGGGATGAAGGGGGCAGCCTGATGCCCCATTGTAGTGCTCTGACATACACCAGGACCAGCATGCAGTCTGTGCTCTGGGGGCAGCCAGTTAGCCTCACCGGCCCCCTCCCCTCTCCCCAGTGGCTTTTGGTAGCTCTCACAGGTGGTTTTATTAACAGCAGTCTAGAAGTGATACTTTAGAGCCCTAAAGCAGAGTCAAATACTACTCTTTCAGGCAAAATCAGGCATCTTGCCCACCCACAGGAGGCACTGATTCATCTACTAATAGCCAAAGGCCCACATCAGGGGTGATTGAGCCCCAGGGTGGGCTTGCAGGGGGCCGTGGCAGGGAAGCTCTATCCTTGTGAGCAGGTCCGCCTGCCCCATGTGGGCTCAGCCACATCCCCTCCCCAAGTCCTGGGCCCTTCCTCTCCCCAAAGTGGAATTGTTGAAGTGTGGCGAGTCTGTGCTCGAGACAGTAAAGCTTGTGCCTGAGGTCCAGGATTCCTGCAGTTCTCTGCTTTTTTCTGTGGGCATCCTGGGCTCCCGGATTGCAGGCATCTTGGTGCCAGGAGTTGGTCTCAATCCTGTTTCACGTGGGTGTCAGCTAATTCCTACTCATCAAAGTCCAGAGCTGAGCTGCATTGCCCACGCAGAGGGCATTCAGCGGGAACAGGTAGAAAATCAGAGATGGGGGAGCGGCGGGGTGGGCTGGGAGAGGCATTTGTGTCTGGATCTGTTCAGAGGTGTGAGTGGGCCCACAGGAGAAAATAGATCTCCCCAATGCAGAAAGTAGTGACAGACCAGCTCACACAAGTTTGATGAGTCCGGTGAGAACACTTAGCACTTCGGGGAGCTGAAGCTCTCACCTGCAGCAAGCTTTCTGTAGATCAAATGAACAGTCAACGTTCTGCAAGCTTTGTGGTCATTTTATAGGCTTTGCAGTTGACGGTTGCCTCCCTGGGAGACTGAACAAGGTAATGGAGGTTAACAGCTGAATGTGTCTGGGAGCTTCGTACCCTTTCTCAGGTGCTGTATCAGCAGAGGCCTGGAGGAAGCAGTGGGGCCACCCAGGGGCGAGCAAGAGTTTAGGAAAGGGCTGTGTGCACCGGTGTGGACAGGGTTAAGGGAATGCACAGGGGACTCTGGGAAGCCACTGCTGCCCCAAAGGGGCAAAATGATCAAACCAGGCAGAAGCAACAGTGGTGAGAGGGCCCCAGCAGGTGGAGTGGTCCAGCAGAGAAGGAACTGGAGTAAACAGCCCCACCTCGCTCCTGCGGCCCCCCCATTGGCTGAACCCAACCCGAAGCCAAGGCCAAGGAGCCTGCCAGAGGACCAGGGGGCATACAGACCAGCCCTTGGGGCACAGCCGGGGTGCAGGGGTGTGCAGAGTGGGTGTGAGGGGTGGGGAGAGATGGAGAGCAATCAACACAGTGTCCGTCACAAGACAGATCTGAGATAGGCGCAAACAGCACCTATTCTCTGGGCATCTGCTGCCTCATATAAATGTCTTTTGTCCTTCTAGAACTTACCAGCCCAGCATATTGAAATTCACAGAGCTACTGCAGATAAGATTCTTTCCTCTCAAGACTTAGTGAACACCATGATGATTTCTGCTTTCTTTCCACATCACCTCAGGCACTAGCTTAGCCCAGTCTCCCCACCAATGGGCTGTGCTGGAGGGACCACCCAGAAAGAGTGTTCCTGGGGTGCAGCCCAGCCCACCGCCCTCCAGGTATGTGGGCTGCCCCATTACTCTTCTTACTGAGCCTCAGTTTCCTCATCTGTGAAGTGGAGAAAATAAAACCAATCTCATGCCATGGCGGGTCTCAATGAGACCCCGAAGGAGACATCGGTTAAAGGCTCCACTCGGTTGTTTCACTGGCCCAGCCTAGGGGGTAGTTGCTCCTTCTCTATCTGCAGGTCCCTCAGGGCCCTATCCCCACCCCTAGTTGGTTGGCCCCTTGGCCATCCAGTTTAGGGGCTAGCAGATTGCTCACACAGGGCAAAGGAGCCCCAAAACTCAAACTCAGCACAGCCACAGGCATCCTGTGTTGAAGCTGCAAGAGCAGCAGCCCCTGGGCCTGGCCTTGTCAGGGGTATGGAGCAGGGGGCTGGGAGCTCTAGACCAGGCCTGTGCTGACTTTTCTTTTCGAACCTGTAAGTTTTGAGATAATTTCAGACTTAGAGAAGAACTGCAAGAATAGTAGGATTCCCAATATGCCCTTCCCCAGCTTCCCCTCTCATACCCGTCTTGCCCACCTGCAGGACGATGCTGCAAACTAGAACATTGACATTGACAGACTATTGACTGCAAGGAAAGACTTTATTCGGGTTTCACCAGTTTTCCTCTAATGCCCTCTTTCTGTTCCAGGATCCTGTCAACGATACCATGTGCATTTATCAGGCATGTCATGTCTCCTTAATCTCTGATCTGCCAGTTTCTCAGGCTTCCCTGATCTTTCATAACCCTGACACATTCGAAGAGCACTGAAGAGTTATTTTGTCCAATGCCTCTTAGTTTGGGTTGGTCTGGTGTTTCCTCGTGATTAGATTGAGCACAGAGGTGCTGTCCCTTCTGCACCAATATCAGGAGGCACCTGATCTTGTTATGTCCTTTTAAGGGTGATGGTCACACTGATTGCTTGATTAGGGTGATTTGATGTACACCAGGGTTCTCCACAGGGAGTTACTCCTTTTCCCTTTGTAATTCACAGCTATTTTGGAGGAGATACCCTGGTATTGTGCAAATACCCAGTTTTTCGTTAGACTTTCCCCACTGATCTTTGCATCCATCCTTGGATCTTGCCTGTGGCAATTATTACTGTGAAATTTGAATAGGGATTTTCTAATTCCTTCACTCTCTCCCTTTATTCACTGAAATTCTTCTGTAAGGAAGAGTAGTCTCTTCTCCCTCATTAACTTATTTCCCAGTTATTTCTTTATATCAATATGGACTCACAGGTATTTATTTTACACTTTGTGTTGTTATACAGTACTATCTCTCTTTACTTTGTTCTTCAAGTTCTTCTACCCTGATCACTGCAAGCACTTTCAGTTGGCTCCCCTTTCGCCCTCACATGCCTCTACCCTTCTGTATTTTAAGCACTTCTGTATTCCTACAACATGCTCCAAGCTCATCTTGTATTTTCCCTGCTGCAGCTCTGGAATCAGCCACTAATATATGAACTTAAAGCACAAGCAACCAAAAGGGGAAAAATAGATTAACTGAACATCAAAATTTAAAATTTTTTGTATCAGAGGATACCCATCAAATGTGGGAAGATGTTTGCAAATCATGTATCTGATAAAGATCTAGTACCCAAAATATATAAGGAACTCTTACAACTCAACAATAAAAAGACAACCCAGTGAAAAAATAGGCAAAGGATCTGAATAGACATTTTCCAGAGAACATCCATCCATAAATGTCCGATAAGCACGTGAAAAAATGCTCAGCATCACTAGTCATTAGGGAAATGCACATCAAAGCCTCAGTGAGATACCACTTCACACCTACCAGAAGGGCTAAAATAAAACGCAGACACTAGTAAGTGTTGACAAGGATGTGAAGAAGTTGGAACTCTCGAATGTAAAATGGTCCAGCCACTTTGGAAAATGGTTTGGCAGTTCCTCAAAATGTGAAACATAGAGTTACCATATGGCCCAGCAATTTTACTCCTAGGTATATACCCAAGGTAAGTTTAAATATGTACACACAAGAACTTGTACACAAATGTTCCTAGTGGCATTATTCATAATAACTAAACAGTGGAAACAACATGAATGTCCATCATTTGATGAATGGATAAACAAAATGCAGAGATCCATACAATGGAATATTATTTGGCCATCAAAAGGAATGATGTACTGATACATGCTACAGTGTGGATAAACCTCCAAAATGTTACACTAAGTGAAAGAAGCCAGAAACAAATGGTCATATGTTGTATGATTCCATTCATATGAAATGCCAAGAATAGATAAATACACAGAGACAGAAAACAGCCTGCTGGTTGTTGGAGGAAGGTCTAAGTTTAAGGGGGAGAGGGAATGAGGAGCAATGGCTTAATAGATATGAGGTTTATTTTAGAGTGATGGAAATCTCTTGGAACTAGATATTTTAGAGTGATGGAAATCTCTTGGAACTGGGTAATGTATGCCTCTGAATGCCTCTTTGAAATAATTTCATGTTATGTAATTTTTACCTCATTTTTCCAAAAAAATTTTTCATTATAATTACATTTCCACATGGGAGGAGTATGAGCTGTTAATATTAACATTAAACTGTATTAGGCATCTTCATTAAGTAATGATGTGTGATCATCAGCTATTTTTATTTGTTCAGTTTATTTTTTCATTATAATTACATTTCCACATGGGAGGAGTATGAGCTGTTAATATTAACATTAAACTGTATTAGGCATCTTCATTAAGTAATGATGTGTGATCATCAGCTATTTTTATTTGTTCAGTTTATTTCAGGGAAAAAAATCAACTGGTGCAATCAACCGTTTAATAGAAAAAAAAAAAAAAGGAGGAAAAAAATACCAAGAACCATTTCAGCAACTGCACTAGATTTGCACTTGGCAGTGGGTAAATTAATACATTTTTTAAAAATTTCAGTTGTGGTAAAAATCAAATAACATTAAAAAAAATACATTATAAACAGCAGATTCCATTTCTATAAAACACATGCCACGATGTTAATGATTACTTTGATATGGCAGGAATACATTGTCTTTTGCTAATCAAGTGTATTCTAAATTACAAAGACCATGTATTGCATAATAAATGAAAAACAAGTCTTCAGCAGCATGTGGAAATGGAGCCGTTCAGAAGCTGCAGAGCTGATGCCTGGCAAAGGTGTTCAAGGGCAGCGATGCTGGAGCGGTTTCTCAGGCCCTGCCGGGGTTAGCCAGGCAGAAAAGGCAGGAGATCTGGATTCCAGGCAGGAAGCACCTCGTGTACAGAGCAGGAGATGGGACATCATTCAGTCTGAGATGTTGCTAGAGCCTGAGTTCCTAGGCGGGGCTGCCCGTG